CACATACAAGGCACCAAGAGACGAATCTTGAGTTGTTGCAAAATCATCATTAACCTGTTGCTCAATGCATCCATCGATTTGAATGAAGATCGTCCTGGAGCAAGCGAAGCGAAAGTCATAAATAAAGTCAATTCTGCATTTTTTTTCTCAGCTAGTGTCTTTGAGATTAGAAATAAGATAATCTGAGTGAGACATCAATCTGAGCAGGTTTATTGTGTGCAGTTTTATATTAGTAATATGAACATGTCTAAATTATTACACTCAATAACCTCTATCAGAATCAAGTTTGACATCAATGTGTGTGATTGGATTAATCATAATGCACATCGAATGATCAAAATAGCTAAAATTAATCATAACATACATCAAAATAGCTAAACACAACATCTTGCGTGAGGCTAACACAAGACCAATTGCTAGCTAAAGTTAATCGCATACCTGAAAAAGTTCTTCAAGCATCAGCTTTGGCCTCTAACCGCCATGGCCGCCTCCCTCGAGCTTCACCACCTCCAAAGAGGGCAAAATCGCGGTGGCCTCGCCGCCAATCACAAGACTGTTACAATCGCCGCCGCCATTGTAGCAATCCGTCCGGAATTTTACCAAGAACTTATTCTCACCCAGCCGTCTGACCTCACCGGCGGTGACTCGGCCGAGAATCTCCTCGCCGACGTACGCCGGGGACCTGAACTCCAGCGTCTGCCTCGCGTACACCGCGCCGGGGAAGCTCGAGGCGATTATCCTTGGGAAGAGCGAGGCCACGAGGACGCCGGGGACGGGGACTCCGTCGAAGCCTGCGATTTTGGCGCGGTCCGGGTCGGAGTGGATCGGGTTGAAGTCGCGGGTAAGCTTCGAATATTCAGCTATGTCCGACGCAGAGAATGTCCTCGCCTGCGAAAATACGTCGCCTGGTTCGAGAACCTTCGAGGAATATCTCCAGAGAGTGCGGATCGAGATGCGGAAGGGATGATGCATAGAATTGTATTATTCAAAACAATTTGGAGTAGCCACGAACACACCGAAAGACTCAAAATCAAGACCTGAGGAAGGACAACCCAGGCTGCAACCCGTCGAGCGCCGGCGGCCCAGATGAGCGGAACGCGGCCTTCTTGAGGAAAATCTGAATGAGAAAATTTATTCAGGACTGTCTAAGCTGTGACCATCCCGGTTGAATTAGAGAAGAACAATTTGGAGTGGGCTTTGATTGGTTAAGGGCCTAGCCCAATGAGCATGGATTGATCAATTAATATAAATAAATTGGGACGAATCTAGAATTAAGAATAGGCTGGGCTAGAAGTTTAAATACTCATTTTTCATAAGAAAAATCACATAAGAAATGAACTCGCACCAAATATGATCAACCGTTCTGTACTCATGATCAACCTTTAAAAAATGAACTCGCACCAAATAAATTGTCTCCCAAAAGTGCAAAATCTATAAAAGAAAATCTCTTATACCAAACCATAAATGAGAAATCTCTCAAGGTAGCTCTTTGTAAAATTAAATCTTCATCTTAAGTTCAAACATTCTATTCAGAACTAATAATATTCACTTCCCCAATAATTTCTACATTCACTTCAAAAATGAAAATAAAAAAAAAAAATGGCAAAAGAAATGAAACTCAAACAAACATCATAAAATATAACTAAAAAACAACATTGGTAGACACCATATCTTTGAAAATAGATCTGTCTACAAATGATATTGGCATATTGCTACATATTAGAATGGGTAAATTGCAATTTTGATACTCAAACTAAAGTTCATTTCGGAATCAGTACCCGTTTTTTAACATTTGTAAAATCAGTACCCAAACTTTCATTCTGTTAGCAACGTTAGTACCCGACCGTTAGATCTCCGTTAAGTTTCCGTTAGTTGTTAACGGAAGTAGGCAAAATGGAGGAAATTTTTATGTTTTTTTTGGCTCATGATGAAATCTATATACATAAGACATTTGTACCATTTTTTTTTTTTTAAAAAAAAAGGCAGCCTCCACTATTTATAAGAAACAAAATTGGATAAAATCGATTTTTTTTGGAAAAAATATAATAAATCGAGAAAAATGAAAAGACATGGTTTCTCTTCTAGTTCATGCAGTATATATTGGAATAATAATTTTCCAATAACAAAAATACAAATTTCCTTCTATTTTGCCTACTTCCGTTAACAACTAACGGAAATTTAACGGAGATCTAACGGTCAGGTACTAACGTTGCTAACAGAATGAAAGTTAGGGTACTGATTTTGCAAATGTTAAAAAACGGGTACTAATTCCGAAATGAACTTTAGTTTGGGTATGAAAACTGCAATTTACCCTATTAGAATAAAAAACTGAAACAAAAGTGATATTACTAGACATATTTAGACAAAATTGAAACAATAACATGATAATTAAAACAAAAACATACTCTGGTTCATAAATTAATCCAATGTAGGCGCATCTGAGTGTACAAGCTAAACAAAATTTGAAGCAAATGCTAGATCTCAACACCCAATTGCTCAAAATCCCAAAAAAAAAAATAAAAAAAATAAATAAATAAAAATCACAGACAATAATATTGTGAATGCTCAGGCTTCAAATTTCTCGTTTCTATTTCAAGAACAAGCACTCAATCATGGATGCTTCACACAATAATTAAATCTCATATGATATTTACAAACCCTAGCCATCTAGGGTTCGTAAAGTAAATATAATTTCTTTTGGTACCTTTTAAATCGGATGGCCGAGTGGAAGTGATGGCTGGTCGACTAGTTGACGACGGAATTCGGCCGCCGGTTAGTGAAAGCAGTCCGCACTGTGCAAAGATTGTCAACAATGGAGACTGAAGAGAGAATTGAGAGGGAAGAACTAAGGGAACAAAATTCATACTCTGCCGTGAGGGAATGAATGAACGAGCAGGCTTAGATGAATTTAACAAGTGAGGTCGTCTGTTTGGGCTTTTATTGTTTATTTGTTTTTATTGGGCTGGGCTAAGAAAAAAGTTAATATAGTTAAGAAGAAAACAGGCCTGGGCTTCAGCCCAGCCCAGGCATAATGTACATCCATCTCTGCCTAGGCCCAATGTAGCTCTGTCTTTGCCCGTCGAGCGCCGGCGGCCCGGCCAAACGCGGACGAGCAGAACGCGGACAAGCGGAACGCGGCCTTCTTGAGGAAAATCTGAATGAGTAAAAATTTATTCCGGACTGTCTAAACTGTGGCCATCCCCGTTGAATTAGGGCAGAACAATTTGGAGTGGGCTTTGAATGGTTAAGGGCCTAGCCCAATGAGCATGGATTGATCAATTAATAATTCAATATAAATAAATTGTCACTATTATCATTAAGCATGACGCACATATACTGACTTTTAAACTGTCTGACGCACATATACTGACTTTTAAACTGTCTTGGCACAACTAGTAAGGGCACACAGTAGTAGAACTGGGTAAATTGATGCACTATTGAATGGAGATTTAATTTTTTGCGAACAGTTTAACTTTTTTTTTTTAATAATTATTTAGTATTCATTTTGTATTGTCTGTTTGGTACTTACATTAGCAGTTTAGCACTGATTTTTCTTACTACTGGATTGCCACGCACGAACCATAGCAAAGCACTACCTGGCGACTAATACGCCCCATATCACTGGCTGGGATTTAGTACTGCTGCGGTACCTGATAACTAATCACTCTCACATAAGCTCGTGCACCAAGCAGGTAAAAATCCTACTACACTGTTATGTTACACAGATACAATGCTACTTTTACGTTTCGTAAAAAATACGGCGCTGCAAAAGGGTCGCACCTACGGCTACATCCAAAATCGTACAAGTTTTCTGTTGAATTTTCTATATACAAACCATTAAAAACTCACATCACGAGCAAATAACCCATAAGAGAGAGAGAGAGAGAGAGAGAGAGAGAGAGAGAGAGAGAGAGAGAGTCTAAAATTCCAAGTAGTGAACTAGCTCTGCTCTTTGTAAGGGGTCCATATTAATTTACTAACGTCAACTTCAAGTCCCCCACGGCCCGCGGCTTTGAGATGACGATCGAGGACCTTAGGATCCGCGCATATGACGTGTTGTCCCTTTCGGTATTGAATCAATTCTAAGCTCTGAAGTGTGGATAGTATATCCTCTGCCTTGATGGCTGTCATGTCACTTAACTCCTGAAGATAGCAATTTGTAAAGAATGCGAGATAAATTGAGGTTAAGAAAAATTCTTAAGGAGATCAAATGCATTTAATGGTGGATTTCCAGATATGGCCTTTCTTGAAAAGTGCTTTTGAGTAATGCCAAGAGTTCGGGAAAAAAATTAGTACATCCAAGAGCCCAATATGCAGATACTGGTGAAAAGATATCCAGATGTCACAAAATTTGATTTCATCAAGAGAAAGGTTCGAATCAGAAAGTCTGTTTAAAAGGTGCTCGGGATGATCCAGAACAAAGCAAGGATATAATCGTATAATAACTTTAAGTTTTATCTTAAATTACCCAAAATCAGACTTTTGGTGAACTGTGACAAGTGATAATAAAGAAAAGATGAATATCCTACTACTCCAGCTCTACCAGCTGGCGAACTGTTAAAAAATTGAAACGACTTGTTTAACACAAACCTTAATTGAGATGTTGCCTTTGTGTTTTTTCAAGATGTCTAGGAGAACGCGAGTCCAGTATCCTCTGTAGCTCACAAGCCCAAGGTCTGAGAGGGGCCGTTCTGGAGTCCCAACTTTACCCTCTTTCTTGGAAAGCTCATAAGCTGCAAGATTCAGGGACTTTGTTAAGCAAAATTTAAGTACATACAGTTTGAAGATTTGTTTTAATGGATAAAATTGAAGAGAATCAGATGAAGTTAGTAGATACAGCAACGTGAAGTTGTTGGCTTTTATAACATCGCAAATGCAAGTAACCTAGATTTTATTTCTTTTATTGAAAGTTTGAAGCCTTGTCCATTGCAAATGAGCTGGAAGAGTCATTGTTGACAATTCTCCTGGCATAGTGCTAATAATGGACTAGATCAAAGTGGCTCAATTAAATTCTAGTGCTTTTTTCTATTAGTGAAGTTTCTAAAAAAAAAAAAATACATCAAACGACGCAATGCACCTTGGGTCGCTACGGAAACAGCCTCGCTGCGTACAACTGACCTCCCAGACCCCAACCAGTTGGGAATATACTGGGTATGTTGTTGTATTGAAAGTTTGAAGCCCTATCCCTTCCCAATACAAAGTACTTATTAGCTACAAGAAGGCTGCCAGGATTAATTTTGGACTAGGAGAGGATCCATGCATCTGCCCATCAAAACTGAACTTAAACAATCTAAATTACCACATCTCATTGATTTTCTCCACTTTGACAAAGAAACTAGTTATTTTCCAATCTACAGTTGAAAGTGAAACTCTCTCAACCTGGAAAATACAATACTAGGAAGAATAAAAAGGCTACTTCCACTCCACTTTGGACAGCTTATAAGACCTAAATGATACATGCACAAATCTTTTCCCACCAACCCCAACACCGTGCCCCA